CCATTCAATGCTATTTTCTCCAGAGGAACTAATCTCTGTAGTCTGGAGGTCAGTTGTAATTCTGGGAGAATTCCGGGCCTCACCTGGAGGTTGGCAAGCCTATGTCAGCAGTCAAGAGTAGCCAAAACTTCCCTGCTGTTGTGGTGCTGCGGACCATAAGTAGGATTGCCAGCTCTGGGTTGGGAAACACCTGGGGATTTTGGGGACTGGGTATTAATGCCATTCAGTCCACCTTCCAAGGCAGCCATTTTCTCCAGGTGAACCGATCTCATAAGAACATAAGAGACGCCAATGTTGGATCAGGCCAAAGGCCCATCCAGTCCAACACTCTGTCACACAGTGGCCAAAAATACCAGGTGCAGAGCATCACTTGTCCCAGACTCCCTATCTATACTTTGTGGCTAATAGCCACTGATGGACCTCTGCTCCATATGCTTATCTAATTCCTTTTTAAAGCTGTCCATGCTTGTCACCACTTCCTGTGAAAGTAAATCTCTGTCATTTGGAGATCAGTTGTTATCCCAGGAGACCTCCAGCCACAACCTGGAGACTGGCAAATCTGAAAGCCAGCCGGCGATGCAATGAGGCTTGGCTGGGTGCTGGCTGAGGTATGGGTCAGGGGTAGAGGGAGGCGGGGTAAAGATCAGTGATGCTGTAACCGTGATTTGACAAGGCAGGAATTGGTGATCTTCTGCTGGTCGGATCCCAGTTTCACAGATGGACTACAGTTAAAATAAACTCTGCTTTGTGTTGTCTGAACTGACTGCCTGCAGCAGGAAGCCAAGGAGACAAGAACCCATCAAGCCTGCGAGTGCAGAGCAAGAGTCAAATTTAGTAATGAAAGAAGAGGCCCCCGGTTTCCCCCTGAAGAAGCTCTACAACTCAGGGCCTCACCAATGCTACTCCCACAAGCTGACCAAGGACTCCTCTTTGCCGTCCGTGCCTCTTCTTTCTCCTCTCCTCTCCTTGTTTCGTGGAGGTAACCCACAGCCTCCTCAAAACCACCCATTGCTAGGGATGCCAGGCTCTCGGTGGGACCTGGGGATCCCTGAAATTACAGCTCATCTGCGGACTACAGAGGTCAGTTCCTCTGGAGAAAATGGACACTTTGGAGGGTGGACTTTACGGCATTATAGCTCACTGAGGTCCCTTGTCCTCTTCAGGCTCCATCCCCAAATCTCCAGGAGCTTCCCAACCAGGATCTGGCAACCATAACCCCCATCTCCCACCGGTGGCCAGGGAAGACCTGGCAACCCCACATCCGTTGCTGAGTTTTGGAAGACAGCCTCGTTTCAGTTGGCTGTGCCCACTTTGGCATTCCGCCTCTTCGGACGTCTCAGCAACGGCTGTTTGGTTCTGCTAGGAACCCACAACCCGTGCCTCAGCCAAGGCCTCCTGAGGTGTCACTGCCCACAGCACTAAATTCTCTCCTCTTTTCTACCTCTAGTCAGTTTAAACCATAGGGAAGGAGATTTTGTAGAAGCATTAGGAAAGACAATTTTTATTAGCATTTAGGCATGGAAACGGACCAAGAAAGCCATGGAATCTGTTCCTGTCAGTTTTTAAGGGGGGGGGAGAGCCAACAAATGTATTGGGGATACAGTATAGGATACATACAGAGCTTGCTGCTCTCTTCACGCATTACGAACTGCGCGAGTTAGGTTTGGGGTCCCCACCTACAACAGACATATCATCACCAGGGTTCCCTCTAAGCTGAGTTAGTGTTAGCTAGCTCACAGTTTTTTAGCCTCCGGCTCACACACGTTTGTCTCAGCTCAGGAGGGGATGGCTCCAGAGCCAACTAGTTAAAGCAGCAGCCAAATCGCTCGCTCACAGCGTCAATGCTAGTAGCTCACAAAGTAGGGTTCTTATTCACAGGACTCCACAGCTTAGAGGGAACGTTGCTCACAGGGTGTCTGTTGTGGGGAGGGGAAGGGAGAGGAGTTGGTAAGTCGCTCTGAGACTCCCTTGGGTAGTGAAGGGCGGGGTATGAATCCAATCTCCTCCTCCTCCCCTTCTGCAGTCGAGCAGAATCCTGTCCGTACCAAGCTGATTTGGTGCCCTGTTAGGATCAGGACCATGGCACATGTGGAGAAGGGGATTTAGGTTCCACCACTTTGCCATTTCCCCAGCCTGAAACAGTCCTGGAAGGAGCTATCAGACTTGCTGGGGAATCTCATGTGTATTCCAGGGACAGTGTCAGCTTGGGAAAATGGCACAGGGAGGAAGGCTGATGGCCCTTCTCCATCCACACAATGGTCCTGAGCCTTATCAGGCACCGGACGGACAATGATTGAGGAGAACCTGCGGCTCATGTGTGATTGCGTTATGTCTGACAGAGGCTAGGGACCCCAGATCTAACCTGTGTGTGCTCATAGGGCTGGAAGATCCCTGGAGGGAGGGGATTCTTGGATGGGTGGGGTTTGAGGGGGGGTCTAAACCTATAGAGTCCACCTCCAAAGTGGCCATTTAATCCAGGTATTAAACCTGCAGTCTGGAGAGCATTTCTAATTCTAGGAGATCTCCAGGCCTCACCTGGAGGCTGGCAACCATACTGCTACATAATGTGTGAAGAGATTATCTGTGGGTTTCCAACATATCAGGTCTTTTCACTATACCTTTTTTTGGCAACATGATCTACAGGAACTAGCAAATGAGCTTCTGGGGGTGAGGCATGGAGTGGGGCACAATATGATGATATGACTTCCAGGGCAAGACCTGGATGTGATGTCACGCCTGCAGATTGAGCTGCTGTTGAATACTACAGAGCTGGTACAAAGTTGGCAACTGTGGTCCCTCTGCCAATCCACAAATGCATGCTGGGTCTATAAGTGATACTTCCCATCTGTGTTGGCATCTCTCACTTAGGACCTCAGATTTTCCCCAATCCAACAGTAATGCCTTGCAATGAAGTGAGAGAGCCTCAAGCAGGCCCCTAAAATCCTGCAAATCCAGCCCACATCTACAGCATCAAAACTTTTCAGCTACAGCTGCCGCCGTCACACTATTAAAGTGTGCAGCACATTTCCCCCTGTATTGATTTTGATTCATTAAAATTCGTTCCCCTTTCATCTTAGACGCGACTCACGTTCTGATTCCAGAGCACATAAACAATGGGCCATTGATCTGCTCCAGTCACAGAATTCTCCCCTATAATCAAGCACACTCCTTCAGACTTCTGTTTCCCTCAACTTAGTAGCATGTTAAAGAGGGGCAAACTTTCCGGGAATGAGTCCAGACAAAAGTCTTGCTGTTTTGCACCTGTACCCCCATTCATCATAGACAAATTGTAGAATTTAGGCAAATTACAATTGCCTAAAGTCACCGGGGACATTAAAATCCAAACTGCAGTCCTGGGAGGAGGATGCCTGTGCATGCTAGAAAATAAAAAAAGATCAGTACCAAGACAGCAAGGTCACAACAAGATGGTACAAAATTAAATACAAAAAGAACAGTTGTTTGGACACAGGCCCATTACACACGCACATCTGCAGATTTTTAGAGCAGTAAGCCTTTAATCTTGACTTCGGATTCTGTGCCCACCTTACGCACCATTCTTTTTCTTCCAGTGTGTTTACAGCTACAGTTTTAAAAAAGCACTTTTCTAAATCAAGGTGGAATGTGACATGTTGAGGGTGACGTCTAAAGTTTTTTTTTAATTGCACAATTGCCCCATTGCAGCAGCGCAGTAGCATCCAGCAAGTGCCTTCCATTTAAATCCTTGTGGCTCAGGTTTTATGCATGCATTTTAGTGTTGAATGAAAGGAATGAAAGGAACACAGGCAAAAGGGGAAACTGATGTTGAAACTGACCAGACTTTTTTTTTTAAACTGACAAGCAGTTGTAAAGCCACCTTGTGGAGCACTAGGGGGTTCACTGCTGTGTTATCAGCCACTGTGAAAAATTTATTTCTACAACGAGCCTTTTTCCTTGTGTAGATATAATGTAGAAGGTGATTTCAGCAGCACGCTATCTTTGGCTCTAATCTACCTTTCGTTTAAAGAGATGGCAGAACTCCTATAGAAGGCTGAGCTGATTTCCACCAACTCCCCTCCCTCTGCAGACACCCACTAGGCTGTTCCTGAGGGTCCACTCCCTATTTCTCTAGCTGAGTGGGGTGAGCTGGTGCACAAGGATCAGGACTTAGGAGAGCCCCTTAAAAAGTGCCAGCACCCAGAGTACCATCACAAAAAGATCCCTGATCTACTTTCCATCATTATTTAGCAATACATGCAGATTGTTAGAAGTGGAGGACTTTGCTCTGTCTCCTGTCTCAAACTTGAGAAGTTGGCACCAAAGAGTTTAGGCAGATAGAGAGGCCCAACACAGAGAGCATCCTTTCCTTCCTGCTATCTGATCCTTTCCTTTGAAGCAAAATGCTACTCTAATTAGGGCAATTTCCTGTGCTTCCGCTCTCTCATTCTCTTCTCTCTGGCACACACACACAAAGAAGATGCTTGATCTCCACCTTGCATGTCCAACCTCCAACACCATCTAGTTAGTTAGAATAGGTAATCTATATCTGTCTCTTACCCGCACTCTCAAGCATGTATTTCCTTTAATAAAAGTTGCTTATTAGCTTTAGAACTGACTGCTGACTCCGTGTGACTTTGTAAGTCTGTTGCCACACCTACCCCCAGCTCTGCTGAGTTAAACCCTTTGAGCACTCTGCTATTTTTCCGTGGTTCCCTGGCAGTACCAAGTCCAGAGAATCCAACACAGATTATGTTAAAAACTATGCCTTTTGCTGTGGCATAGCTGGTCCTTCTGTCTCCTTCCCACCAAGCAATTTTAAAGAAATGGAGAGCGAGAGAGAGTGCAAGTGAGGAAGGGCCAGTGGTGGTAGCACGCTGTGGGCCAGATTTGGCACATAGACTGACTGTTGCTGCTCCCTGGCCCAGATCATCCACACGTGACTTTAGAAAGAGCCCACTTGACCCAGAAGCTGTTCTGTCCTTTCAAAACATCCGATTGTACATTGTTTCTTGTGTGACACTCACCACGATCTGAGTCTCGTTCTCTGGCAGAGTGTCAATGGCCAGACTTCCCCCAACAAAATCATGGATGATCTGTGTCTTCTTGTCTTTCGCTGAGGTCTCTCGTGTCCTTCGCTCCCAGGGCTGAGGTTTTGCCCCCGTCACTGATGCACGGTCTTCGGTCCAACCTGCTGGGTAGGAAATAAAAATGAGAAATATTTTATTTGTCCAGAAGGAAGCCACTCCCGCCAAGACAACCTATTGGATCTTCTATTCTGCAAGGAACTCAGGGCAGGGTACATGGGTTTTTCCATTTTAGCCTCACAACAACCCTGCGAGGTAGGTTAGGTCGAGACATCCAGTGAATTTCATGGAGGACTGGAGTGGGGATTTGAAGCAATGTTTTTCCAATCATGGTTCAATATTCTACCTACTATGCTTCACTGGCTGTCAGTGGGGATAAGTGGTTGCATCTAAGAAGGTGGAACTGAGCTGTATTCCTTTGGCTAGAGAGGAATTTGTGATGTCTGCTATACAGTTTGTTGTAGGTTTGAGTGAGCACAGAAATCCTAATTTTCTTCAGAACTACTAAGGAAGTAGATTCTGCACCCATATGATGCAGTTTGTTTCAAGCGCTGAATTGCTCTTGCAGCAGGTAGGAAGTTCTTAGTAATGTTTAATCTAAGGGCCAAATATACATGACTCGGAAGTTCTATGGTTGGAACACCCTCTCATTCGAAAACAAGCAGCCATTGGTGGGGGGAAACTGGATCAGGGCTGTAGGAGAAAGAGAGAGTTAACTTTCCTTCTAGGCTAGAATGGTCTCCCACTCTTGCTGTTCAGAGCCCCTTTGGAAAAAAAACAGGCATAATAAAGGCAGCTATTTCTTCTGCTAGGGCTTTAAGCCCCACTGGGAAAAAAGACAGGTACAATAAAAGCACCTGTCTTTTTCTCTCTCTAAGCCACCAGAGAAACCACCCAGGAGGGAAGAGTTTAAGCTTCCCTTTCCCATGGCCCTGATCCAGACTGTGGTCCTCCATGAACTGCTATTTTGGGCCATATAAGATGTTTGGATTTCTAATCATGGGACCCCAGCATCACACATAGCATGGTCCTCTGTTACCTCCTGGGAGTTTGAACTTAATTGCTTCTTTTCTTGATCTTGGCAAAAGTACAAGTATGAAGGAGACGACAAATACGAGAAGAGGATTTAGCAATGGTGTTCTTAAGCGGATGATACAAATTTGGGCTCTCATAATGAGGCTGAAACCAACATGCAGCACAATTCTCAGAAGTGTTTGCTCAAAAGTATGTCCTATTGAGTTTAATGAGAAAGTAAATTCTATTACCAGGTTGAATCTAGCCAACTTTTTCACTTGGTCTTACCCAATTCCCTTCCTTATTACAGCCCCCATCACATATGGCTTTTGTTCATGCAGATCCTAAGGTCCCCAGAACAGCCTTTTTTGGGTGGTTGAAAGGAACCCATCCTCCTTTTGTCACCCGTAGAAATGCCAGTTTGATCCAACCAGGGCTTTATTTCTGGGGGAACATGCCGGAACAGAGTTCCAGAAGCTCTTCGACAAATTTATTTTAAAAATGTTTAAAAGTTTATGAGTTTTCAGTATACAGATTGAAAATGTCGTTTCCCTCTTGAGAATTCTGGCACTACTACTCCTCCAAAAATTAAAAAAAAAGCCCTGGATCCAACCCACTGAATTCGTTCAGATTTTCTCCCACGTAAGTGTGTTTAGGATTGCAGCCAAAGATAGACAACTTGAAAGGAAGGGGGAAGAGAAGGAAAGGGGGGGGGAACTATGGAAGGATAAAACCAGGAAAGTTCCGTTAAATACTGTTGAAATCTAACCCATGACTCTCCCTATATTTAATCTATTTTCCTTACACATTCCTGGAATTTTGTGTTGATTATATGGCACAGGTTACACAGTTCAGGGGGAAAACAGCATTACGACCTAATGATCCTCTAAAACCTATAATTGTGAGCCAATGATTTTTTAAAAGGACCATGAGACTGTAACCCTGTGGAAAGTTGAGGGTTGCTTCATACTTAAATGGCAGCACACATGTATACACATGGAAAGAAACCATCGGCTTGGATCCAGTGATGTTCAAGCAGAAATCTAAATGCAAGTTAGTGCAGTTCCACGTGTACAAGGTCTTGTGGAAGACCTAACACTTTCTTCCTTACATCTTATAGTGACCAGAAATGGCTTGCAAGTCTTGTGCAAGTGGGGAAAAATGGCTCAGGATATTTTACACTTAACAGTGCAAAGGGCTATTGTGATTTTTTTTTGTTCAAGGGGTCTACCGCATGCAGAAATCTTCAGGTGATGCCAAGCCATAGTATAAAGGTAAAGGTTTCCCTTGCTCGAAAACTGGTTGAATCTGACTCTAGGGGGTGGTGCTTATCTCCATTTCCAAGCCGAAGAGCCAGCGCTGTCCAAAGCACTGTTCCCTCTAAGCTGAGGGAGCTAGCTCACAATTTTTTAGCCTCCAGCCCACAGATTTTTGTCTTAGTTCAGGAAGGAGGGCTCCAGAGCAAACTGATTTATGCAGTAGCCAAATCGCTGGCTCGCAACTTTAAAACCAGTAATTCACAAAGCAGAATTTTTGCTCACAAGGCTCCACAGCTTAGAGGGAACATTGGCCCAAAGACATTTCCATGGTCTTTTGGCCAGCATGACTAAACGCCGAGGCACATGGAATATTGTTACCTTCCCACTGAAATGGTATCTATTTATCTACTTGCAATTTCTTGCTTTCAAACTGCTAGGTTGGCAGGAGCTGGGGCCAGAGACGGGAGCTCATTTTGTCACGCAGCACGAGGGTCTTGAACTGCCAAGCTACAGACCTTCTAGTCTGCAGCTTCAGTGTCTTAACCTCTGAGCCACTGCGATAGTATAGAGCAGGGGTGTCGAACTCATTTGTTATGAGGGCCAGATTTGACATAATTGAGACCTTGTTGGGCTGGGCCATGTGTGTCATAAAATGTAATGCCAGGTAGCGGAGATATAAACTGTATAAAGGACACAAACACAAAGGTTTTTTTTTTAACTTAAAATAAAAAAACATGCTTAAAACATTAGCACTCTTGAATTATTTTGTTTATTTAACAGTGTCTGATAACTGACACCTCTTGCTCTGAATTATCGCATCGAAATGTCTGTGCTGTTGCAATCTTGAGTATGCTGTTCAGGTGTGTATCTGTAAGCTGCAAACCTACAATGATGCAGCAGCAGCAGCAGAACTGGAAGAAGAAGCAGAAGATAGCCAGTTTCATTGCAGGCCTGATAGAAGCCCTCCAGGGGCCTGATGTGGCCCCCAGGCCACATGTTTGACACCCCTGGTATAGAGGTTCTCAAACTATGAAGTGATCTTCTTGCTTTGGGGATGCAAAGGTCTGGAGTGGGATGAAATCCTGAGGCTGCTAGTGTGTTCCTTCCTGCTAGTCCAGGCCAGGGTGGATTGAACAACAGTATTACAACTGATCTCCCAGGCAACAGAGATCAGTTCACCTGGAGGAAATGGCCACTTTGGAATGTGGACTCTACGGCATTAGACCCCACTCAAGTACCTTCTCTACCAAAACCCCACCCTTCTCAGGATCCACCTCCAAAACCTCCAGGTAACCCACCCTTCTCAGGATCCACCCCCAAAATCTCCAGATATTTCCCAACCCCAGAGCAGGTAACCCTAGCTAATGGAAACCACACTGGATTTGTGGAGGAACTGCATCCTCAATGCCCAATCATTCCAGAAAGGACAGTTTGCTTTGGGGGCTGTGTGTGTGTGGCAATGCTCCCTCTAAGCTCTGGAGTCTTGTGAGCAAAAATTCTACTTTGTGAGCTACTGGCATTAAAGTTGTGAGCGAGCAATTTGGCTGCTGCATAAATTAATTTCCTCTGGAGCCATCCTTCCTGAGCTAAGACAAAAATGTGTGAAGTGGAGGCTAAAAAAACTGTGATCTAGCTCACACTAACTCGGCTTAGAGGGAACACTGGTGGGTGGGTGTACTTTTTGTGTGCGTGTGCGCTCGCGTGCGTGTGCATGCACGCGCACTTGGAAGTCATGGTGACCTCTGGTGACTGACCCCTACTGGGGGCCTGGAGGATATTCAGAGAGGTGGCTGAATAAAGCCTGCCCCCGCCTCCCGACTGCTGGTATTCCAAGGATGTCTCCCATTCAAGTACTTGCCAAAGTCAACCCTGCTTAGTTTCTGATATCTGACACGACTGGGCTTGCCCGGGCTATCCAGGTCAGGGCAGATGCTTTGCTTTTTGATGTTTCACTGAGCATAGTTTTAACCAGTTTACAGAGATTCTGGTCTCCTTCTTACATTAGCATTGTATTCCCAGCCAACAGATCCTCAAATGCAGCAGTGGACTACACATACACAAGAATGGGCAAGGATTTCTACATGCTTACTTGTGGAAAAGAAGATTTTGGCACTGGGACTATGGCCCCAGGCAGTAGATTCGGTTCAGAGATGAAACCCAAGTTCAAAACTAATGTAGGTTGCCAAGGTACCGTGACTGACTTCAGCAGTTTTCCTCCAGTGTCCCTCTTGGCTCCAAAACAGAAGCTTTACATACAGTTGTAAATATAGAACTGAGTCAGCTGCGGACATGACGTTATCTCTGCCTCTTTGCGGTGCTTTGGGCAATATCTCAGTCTCCATTGCCCATCTATATAACATGATAACCTCAGACAATTATCATGCCCTACAATCAAGACATTGCAAGTAGATAAATAGGTACCACTTTGGTGGGAAGGTAACAGCGTACCGTGCGCCTTGGTGTTTAGTCATGCTGGCCACATGACCACGGAAACGTCTTCGGACAGCGCTGGCTCTTCGGCTTTGAAACGGAGATGAGCACCGCAACCCTAGAGTCGGACTTGACTGGTGTTCGAGCAAGGGAACCTTTACCTTTACTTTACAATCAAGAAGGGGTTCTATGCTCTGGTATGGGGAGGGGCTGTGGCTCAGCGGTAGAGCAAGCAATTGCTTTGCATGCTGAAGGTCCCAGATTCAATCCCTGGCATTTCCGGTTAAAAGGATCATGTAGTAGGGGATACTCTGACCTGGATAGCCCAGGCTAGCCTGATCATGTCAGATCTCAGAAGTTAACCAGGGTCAGCCCTAGCTAGTATTTGGATGGGAGACCTCCAA